GCTTAACCCGCTGTTAGACAAGAAGGCTGGGCTCAACCTGCTGTTAGACACCCAAAGCTGAGCTCAACCTGCTGTCAGACACCCAAGGCTAGGCTCCCCGTCCCAACGCTTGCTCTGCCAAAGAGATGAGCGGCTCCAGGAGGTAATTCAGAAAAGCAGGAGCAGCTCCGGAGCGGAATTCCTTACACCTGCACTTGGATGGACCAAGGTTCAACCAATGCTGCCTGTTTCTCGCCAGAAAAGGCAAGAGGTTAGGCTGCTTCAGAGCCCGACACCCCGTATGGAGAAGTAAAACCCAGCATCCGTAAAAAAATAAGTTCATAAGAGGGGGCAAAAACCCAGCTACAGCGACTCGTTGACATCACCGTTGGGGTTATCTACACTTCGGGCACTTCAAAACTGATGGAGATAGATTTGTAGATCTTTATCCCACCATTTGCAGCAGATTCAATGCTAACGCAGTTAATAAATGAAGTCTGGGTAGAAAATGACCCCAGAATTAGCGAAGGATGAGGTTAGTGGTGTCACAGACGGCCCATTTCCCTAAAATAACCCGCTGCCGTGCCCACCGGGGTTTGTTAAAGTCTGAACACACTAAACGCTGCGGTGAGGCCTGGGGGCAGAGACAAGCTCCAAGATCTTGCTCGTTATTTCCTTCTTTCTTAATTTCATCTCATTACAGCTAAATATGCCAAACAACTCCTTTTCGCCTCGGGTTAAACACCAAAATCCTGCCTCCCCTTTGAGCCGGCAGCTGACAAGCGGTAGAGACTCGGCTCTCGGCATCTTACCTCTTAATTTAAAAGCTACAGCTTCCAAAAAAAGGGAGAGGGAGGAAAAATTAGAGGATTCAAAGCTTTGAAATCCAACAGAGCGACTCCACGTGATTTTTGGTTTTTTCCCCTCTCTCCCGTGTTCACAGCAGCCACGCGGAAAAGCATCGGCCCCGAAAAATGAAGGTGAACTCATGGTTGGGACTTGACCCCTGAGCAACGCCTCCGGAGGCGAGGGGCTTGCTGCCTAGCAAAGCCCTAGCAAAGGCGTTAATCGTCAAGAATCCTGCGTATAATTAAGTTAATTAGCAAAAGGAAAATAAAAAAAAAAAAAATCTAAGTGCTGTGCGGTAAAACATAAGTGACGGAAGAGGGACGGGGCTGACCTGGAGGTACTGCTGTTGCTGTTGTTTTTCTTGGCCTTCTTGGATGGCGGTTCCTTGGCTTTGCTTTTCTTGGTGTCTTCCAGCTCTTCCTTCTTTTTGTGCTTCTCCTTCTTCTTCTCCTTCTTGTCTTTCTCTTTTTTCTTTGGTTTGTTCTGCTGTGGCTGGGACAGGGCTGCAAGCTGTTCATGCACTGCTTTAAGCTGAGAGGCAGACACACACAAGATCAAGATACTTTTGCCCAGCACCTCCTCCTCTTCCATATTAATTAACTTTTTTCTCCACTGCCTAACGCTTTCTTATCTTTCACTATTAATTAAGTCAGTTCTTCCAGCTTTTCATTACACTGTGATTTCTGTATATTAAAGTGTTGACCACTGCAAGAGAAGGAGACAACCTCTTCATGGGTATTCCTCCCCGCTCAGGCAGAAGTGGGCTGCTCGCTTCGTCAGCGCTAATGATGCTTTAATTGCCAGCGCTAACGATGCCATGAACGGGGAGGATGCGGGAGACGAGGCTACGGGAGCATAAAGCGGACGGGCTTCCCCCACGCTGGGTAAATCCTCGCTCCAGCCCAGGAGTTCAGGCAGCAAATTCCTGCCGTTGGGGACCATCTTGTGTGTCCTAAGAGGAACTGGAAGGACCGTCCTGAAAAGCACCAATTCCTTCGTGCTTCACTTTAAAACTAACGATTTCGGAGCACTTTGCAGCCGATGGCCACTATCGTACAACTAGAAAGCCTACGGCTTTGAACAAAGGCCCTGAGGCCACCAAGTTCAAGAAGAAGGACGCGTTGGCCACCCCCAATCCATCACAACGGACGCGGTACCTGTTCCTGGAGCTCTGCTAACCGCTGAGCTCGCTCCTCCTCAGAGTCATCCGATGAGCTGTCGCTGTCGGAGGAGCTATCGCTGCTGCTATCGCTAGACGAAGGGGGAACCACCTTGGTGGGAGGTGGCACCACCACGGGCGAAGAAGCTGGAATCACAGGTTCTTCTGGTTCATCCGGCATCTTGGCGAAGCGCATCTCGAACACGTCCTGAAAATAAAAGGGAAAAAAATAACACAAGGTTTGGCAGAGTAGGAGACTACAAACACGGTTGCGATCTCCAGGCTGTTCCCTACGGACTTGCGGTCTCTACCCAAGCAATCAACACACTGCCCGTCGCAGACGAGAGAATTTCCTGAAAGCTCCAAGTCCACATGGGATTTTGACCGTCTCCAAGATGGTTTTGGGGGAAAAATTTACCAGCAAGAAGGACAAGACCCATTTAAAAGCCGGATCGTCCAGGTTCTTGAGATCTTCTACATCTTCCGCAATGGATTCGTGGTTCCAATCCCCTCTTCTCTTCAGCCTGCCTGGATTTTCCCAACCCACGTCCCGTGAAAACCACCTCGATTCAACCCAAGGTCGTTTCCCGTTATCCTCAAGAGCGACGGATGCGAAGCCAGTTTAATTCCAGTCATCCCAGCAACGTGAAAGTCCTTTTTTCTCCTAAAGCCTGATATGAAAATCCATTTTCACTTAAACCTAAGACGAGGGAGGTAAGGTGGCACAGAGCCTGTATTTCTCCGTGCCCATCGACTTCGTTTGAAGGAGGGATGTGCGTGTGGTTTTTACGTTTCCCAGAAGAGGAACAAGTGCCACTTGCACCCAAAAAGAGATTTTTTTTTTTCCCCCAAGGTGCCACCTTGTGAAGGGCGAAGCACTTGCAGACAAAAAAATGCCATTTTTTTGCATCTCCTAGAAGGCGAGATCTGAAAACGGGCTCGATTCACCTGCTTTTAGGTGTTTAGAAGTCAGGCACTTATTTCTGAGCTAGGCGACTCGCCCCGGGCTCCTTTTGGAGCCCATAAGGAGACGGGCAACTCCCAGAAGATGACTCAAGCGATGGTGGGAAGGACAACCCGAAGGCAGCACAGGTGTCGGTGTCCACCTCTTCAATACCGAGTCATAAAAAAATAAAAGAAAATTTCTCCTCCTGCCCGAAGGTTTGACTTTCGGTCTACAGTTACTATTTATTTTTTATATTTTCCAAGGCCTGGGTGTGTGGCTGCGACCAGAAACCCACCAGACAAGAGCTGTGGTTTATTTCTAAAACCCAACGGACTATAAATATTAACGGTGTGAACGTTCATATAGATTTATACAACTTATCCAAAATCCTTCAGCAAGTCAAACACCCCGTGATATCAAATCACGCTGATTTAACTCATCGCTCGAGCGCGGGAGCGATGTTTTCCTTCCTGAAGGCTTCCAGCTCTTCTCGTTTGGGCTCATTCTTGTGATTTTGAGGACCCGTTGGGCTCTCCCCTACCTCGGCATACATTATTTTTCCACCCTCCTTCTTAAAGGCGAGCAGGCGGAGCACTGCTGGACCACATTTCTCCATCCTCAGCCTCCTTGTGCCTTTATTCCGAGCTTTTTTTCAGCAGCGATGGCTTTTCCGGGCGCTGTCGAATGTTGCTTTGCTGCTTCCATCTGCTGGCAGAAATGCCGCTGACTTCATTTACGCGCTCGGGCTCCGATTTCAGGGGAAGGAGCAGAAAATGCTGGAGGAAAAGGAGAGATTTCCGAGCTCCTCCAGCGACGGCATCGCTTGCGGGACGATGGAGGCAGGCACATACATTTGTCACTGATTCACTGCGCTTAATGACTGTTTACAACCTAATTATTGTTTTCCATGAACCAGAAAGTCCAGTCAGTGCTTGATTACTACCAGCAGGCAACGCTACACCACTATATATACTCAATTTCTAAATTCTCTAGGGTCAGAAATAAAACCTTCCTCCTTTTTTTTATATCTATCTAGTCTTTTAATTAAGAGGAAGGCTAATTTAAAGATCCTTTGAATGAAGTTAAAAAGCAATCCATCAATTCGGAAACATCTGGGTGATGAAAAGCCCTTGATGTCCGAAGGATCCCTAAGGAATCCGCTCAGGAAAAGGAGGGAAGAGAAAATCTTGTGAGTAGATAACGAGCTAATTAATGCCTTTTTAATCAGGGTTTCTTACCGCTACCGTTTTGTACATCACCGGTACTGCTGACCCGTCCTCGCTCGGACAAACATAAACCATAAACCTCTTCCACGAGCTGGCGTTCACCCTGAAAACCCAAGAAATCATCTTCCGACAATGAAGTGGTAACAAAAACCAGGAAAAACAAGTTATTTCAGAGGTTGATGTGTGCAGGACGGAGGGATAACGCAGCAGGCAGCGAGCGGGGCTGGCTATTAAGCAAAACGCCGTTTATATTGTTTACGGGAACTCAAGTCCAAACTTGAATCCTCGGCCTTACTTCCAAACCCCAGCAGCGCTCCAGAAACCTCCCTTTTTTTAAAAAAATTTTATTTCTGAAATCAGTTTTCTGGGCAGGGGAAAAGCAAACGGAGAGGTGCCACCTTGGTCTCAACCAGGCGGGGAGCGGGATCCAGTTGGTATTTTGGTACCCACCTCCGTCACATCGCCGCTACGGGGCTGCTCTGAAATTTCATGCCCATTTTCTGGGGACTATTACATTCAAAACCCACTTTTTGCATCTTTAAGTCAGAAATAAAGTTTCCCGAGTGGTCGATCTTTGCAGGGACGTGTTCTCAAACCTGTCCGCGGGATGTGATGCGGATGAAACCCCGATCTCGTACTGCCCTCCATCCAGACGGAATCACCTAGCAATGACGGTTGCTGAGGATTTTCCCCCATAAAACGGGGCGAAGAAAAGAAAAGTCACAAGTTTCCGTGAAACTCTTTGGCTTGCGACAAGAGGGACGGGAATTTTAGATCAGATTCGTTCTGCTGCTGGTTGGAAAATGCTCCAAGACGTCACCTGAAGAGGCTGCGAAGTTCTTCGTTAGACCAAAACAAGAAGAAGAGAGCAGCTAGAGGGTGAGCATCAGGTTTTCCAGACGTCTGCTTACCATAAAATCCAGAAAAAACATGAGTAAGATGCTGAATTCTACTAAATTCATGCTAAAAGCAAGGCGAAACACACATTTACTCAGCGTATACTCGTCTCAAATTAAACCAGCCCAAACCTGAGCTGTAATTTTGTAATAGCATCACGAAGAAACACGAGCGCCTAAAAACCGAGGACGCATCTCGGAGGACGCGCGTGCCGGGTTTGCTGCCGCTTCGTTTCCTCGACGCTTTGTCGCAGCTTCACATCTGGATCGAAGCAAAACAGCTGGCAGCCTTTTCACGAGCCGGTATTTTCCTCAAAGTTCCTTCGACTTCAGCGGAGGGGGAAGCTGCGTCACGTGGAGTTTTTTACGTGAGGTTTTCCAGCAAAACCCAGCAAAGCTATTAATATCCAATTTCTCCTTTTTTTCGGTTGTTTCTCAAGTCAAACATCCCGCAACCTAGTAGTTTTTCCCCCAATTTAACAGCTTTCCCCCCAGTTTAATGGCTTCCCCCCCAATTTAATAGCTTTTTCCCCAACCTAATAGTTTTTTCCCGTCTCTCCGGTGCTTTCTGGTGTAACTCAGATCCCTTCTCAACCTGTTTTCGGAAGGTTAAAGCAAACCACGCTGATTTTCTTCTCGTTTCACATAGCGAGAGCTCCGCCGCCTCGTCGTTCTGTTCCACACCGCTGGAGTTGTACTTTTCTACGCTAATAAAACCTCTTCCCTTACGGATTTGGTTCCCGTGTCCTCGCATACGTCTTGGATCCACCGAGCCCATCCTGCGTCCCCTCCTCGCTGCGTCTTTCTGGCATCCGGCACACAGATCCACGTGGATTTTGGGGACTGCACGGCAGCTCCCGGCCGCTTGGTTGGTATCAAATGTGACCTGGTGAAGTTATTAAGGAGGGACCGAGCGACGGACGGCAGGAAAGTTTATTTCTTTAGAAAATGACAACTGCACCCACGATCCTCCCAAGCCAGAAAAAAAAAGGAGGAATCAGCACTTAAGTGAACGAACTGCCTGAAATCACGGATATGGGGAATGCTCGAGTGTTTTTAATGGTAGGTGTTGAAATGCTTGGGTCTAAAAACCAAATGTAGGAGCTCTCTGTCCCCTTGCAGTGGTTCTCCGCGGCTGCTGCGAGCTCCTTCAGCACCGAAACGAGCTCGGTCTCTCCCAGATCCGCTCGGAGCAAAGTGCTTTTCCCTGCTTCGGCCAGGCGACTCCGCGTAGCAGCTCCGAATTACCGAGAAACGAGGGAATCGAGATGGTTTTGTGGAGTGGCGGAGCACGTGCATTAAGCCAAGCACTTCACTTGAGACCTGTGGCTTCTTTAGCAGCTAATTAATTAATTACAAACCCTTCAGGAACGAGCGGAGAGCAGAAAACTTCATCGTAAGAATGACGGAAGAGGTAATTAAAAAAGCAGAACCAAGCAGGTACTGTCGCTTATTTTCTTTCTAGGCGTTTTTGGGAGAAAAGTGACATTTTGGAGCCACGCTTTTCCTTCCTACTCCTATATCAAAAAGCTAAGAGGACATGAAAAAGATGCTATTAAACAAAATAAGAGTTTAAAGAAGCAAATTGGGCTGAGTCAGCCCACTCCTTGCATCACTTCCACAGCAAAAAGTGTCATTTTTTTACCATTATCTACCACGCTGGCATTTTTTTAAGGTTATTTCAAGACTACGTGGCCCTTACGCTAGAAAAGTAAGTCAAGAGGGACGCCGGCGTTCATCGAAAACCGAAGCAGGCTGCGACAACGCGCATCCTTACCTGCAGTTTCCGTGCCATGGCCACCACCTCGTGATCAGCGGGGTTGTACTTATAGCAATTGGAGAACATCAATCGTACATCCGCCGCAAATTCCTGAGCATCTCGGTATTCCCGGTTCTCCAGTTTAGACTAGAAAGGAGGAGAGAAAAAAACATGAAAGCCAAACAAAAAACTCTGCTATTAACAGTGCAAATACAACAGATTGGTTGAATAAATACAGCCCCGCGGCGCCCACGGATTGCGCGCACCCATTTTCTCCCTACGGTGGAATGACTGATTTTGGTCAAAAGAATGCCTAATTTTGATCAAACAAGGATTGCGGCTGGTTTATAAAAAATTAGAGCCGACTACGGGCATCCTCAACGATGTTCCAAAAAGGACTACGTGCTCGCCGAGCCACCTTCTCGCTGTCTGTGTGGTTGATAGCAGCGACGTGGTTCAGATGAAGAACCAAACGGGGACGCTGTGTTGAAGAGAAAAAATGAAGGCCAGGAGTAGGAACCCTGGCTCTACCTGACCTCAACCAAGAAGGGCTGAACCTCCACGTGCGCCCAAGATTGTGCGTGAGCAGAAGAATATGGTGAGCTTTGCTCAGATCTTTCCCCTAGAAGGAAGATCTCAAGAGTTGCCTGGACAGTGTAGCCTGGTTGGAGGGACAGAGGACACCAGGATGGTCCTTCACCCAACGATGGAAGATGACGGGCTTTCTTCACGCAGGGGACAGGATTCAACTGTCTCTCTTGCTTTCAACCATCCACCCTTCCTCCAGGAACCAAGCCGGTGTCTCTAGAGCTTGGACCCCCACCCTAGGCGAGCACA